CATATCAATCAATCAATCAAAAGCCTTTCCCAAAAATTTTCGAATCACAAAGTTGTTCCTTTTGAATTCTCTTAGAACTGCAAACTTTGAGCAGTATTAGTTTAAAGCCCTGAAGTTGTAATTATTTTTAAGTGCTCTGATGTATAACTTCATTTGATAATTTTAAATAATATAAATTGTGAATGCTTTAGGGGAGTGGTGATGGCCAAAAGGTCATGGACAGAAAAACATTGACGTGGTTTATCAAATATAAGTCGTTGATATACTATTTGCAACAAATCTTCTTGTTTAGAACTTAGTTATATTGATGAATCCCTTAGAGATTAACAACTATACAATCTCTGGTCGGTTGAAATTTTACGTTCTTTGGCAACACATTTTTACTCAGGAATAACAATTTGAACTTGACAGCATTAGAAGTAAATGTTTCCAGAAATAAATCATATTTAAAACTTCCGAAATTGGTTCTACATTTGTAAACTGAAGTTACTGTACGCGCGGGTTCAACAGTTTTAATAATGATCCAAGTGACGTGATGATTTTCGCGATCCCTATAAGTATTTCGAATGTTTCTGAAAACTTCCCTATAGCAGAAGGGTCACTTGATATCTGAATACTTTGAAATGGGTCTTTTCCATTAAAGTAAGTAAAACATTTGAAATGTCACTTCTGAAAACTAACTGTACTTAATTTTCATTTATATAATTTTTTATTTATTTAATATTGAAAAGTGTGTTTGGTGTTCTTGAATATTTAAGAATTGCTGTGCAATTATTTTTACAATAATATCTTCATTTATTTTCATTCCATAAATTCTATCATAATTTGGAAATTGTTTTATAAAATTAAAACTTTAAAGTCTTTTTTTTCCTCTCTCTCCTTTTTAAATGCTTTTTGAATTAATCTATTATATTGCAGATAAATCCTTAAAATGAATTAAGAGCATATCAAATTTAATTAAAGAAAAATTTCAAGAAGTACGCATCTTGATAATTTTTAATTATTTTTCTAAAATTAAATATTTTGTGCTTGAAAAGTAAAATATATCTCTACATTCAAGTTTATGATGAAAGCCAACAATTGCTTTTTTATTGCATGCATTTTTAAATGATTTCGAGTATTTTTGTAGCATAATGAAGGTTCATTTTTAAAGTTTAAAACTTATAACCTTCTGAAATTCAGTTTTCAGAAATTTGAAATGCAACGCTGCGAACAATATTGTGAATCTTTCACAAATTTATTCATATTATAAACGAAACTTGCAATTCCAAAACTAGTTTTGAAGTATATTGTTAAAAAGGTCTGCTGACTAAAGCAGTTTGCTTAAAGTTACTTATGCAAACTTTTGTCGTTAAATAAATTTTACTTAATAGGTCAACTTTAAGTTAAAATTGGGTTATTGGCTTTATTATAGCAGATTTCGTAAATTTATTTTGGCACTTAAATATAGGTAAATATTTCTAGGTCATTTTTTTAATTAATTCCAAATTTCCTTTTTGTCTTTTCACTCCTTACTTTCAATGCATATTTGACTGCCTATTTAAATTTATTTCGAGTCATTAACACGATTTTTGAGACTTTAAGCATGCTTGCCACGCGTCATAGTATTTCCTTTTAACTTTTTTTCTTTTTCTGTCTTAAAGAAAATTATTATTTTCATGGTTGTCTCAAAAATGCTTACATTTATATAATATCTGTGTTCATGTTGAATCTTTTTTTAATGTCAGACAGAAAAGACCAGACTTAATCAACAGAAGAAGTATAGTGTTCCACCAAGATAATGCGAGACCTCATGAAAGTTTGATCATCCACCAAAAGTTTTTTCAGCTTGAATGGGATACACTGCCACATCCACCATATTCTCCAGATCTGGCGCCTTCGGATTATTATTTGTTCCGGTCACTGCAAAATTGTTTGGACTGTAAAACATTTACTTCAAATGAGGAGGTCAAAAATCACCTGGATCAGTTTTTTGCCAGCAAAGACCAAAAAGTTTATGAGCGTGGAATCATGCTACCACCCGAAAGCTGGCAAAAGGTGTTGAACCAGAATGGCCAATATAAAATTTAATAAAATATTTATTCATCATACGAAAATAGTCTTTCATTTCTCCCCAAAAAACGAAATTACTTTCCGAACAACCCAATATATTGAATGCATTCATAATCATAAACTGAGCACAACATAATTATGCGATGAGCTACTATTTTTAAGGAATAATTTAAAAAAAATTTGCTCAAATTTTTAAAGCATGCATTTTTCAATCAAATAAGGCACAATTTTTTTACTGAACTTCAATTCTGAAAAATTTTAAATTGTGTGACAAAATTTGCTATTTTTCTAATCAATTAGACTTTACGACAAAAATATTAAGTTTCTTATGTACTCCCGTTCTGATTGGACAAGGAAATTCATTCTAAGTTTATTGTTTAGGAAATATATTTAAGTTTATAAAAAAGAAAACAGATTTTAATTAAAAAATTGGGGTTGAAAGATTTAAAATACATAGACATCAAAAAGATTTCAAAGACCACACAGATTCTGTAACTCGAACAGGGTGCTCTGTAACTCGAACAGGGTACTCTGTAACTCGAACAGGGTGCTCTGTAACTCGAACAGGGTACTCTGTAACTCGAACAGGGTACTCTGTAACTCGAACAGGGTACTCTGTAACTCGAACAGGGTACTCTGTAACTCGAACAGGGTACTCTGTAACTCGCACAGGGTACTCTGTAACTCGNAGCACTCCTTTCATTAAATTATTTGCATTAAGAGGTAAGGGCATAAGTATTCACAATAAAATTAAAATAAACTTTTAATGTTTTCGTCGTTTATATTTGATTTTACAGCACGAAATTTACCAATCCAACTTTTTTTTGGCTTTTTTATTCTATTTTAAACAATTATTATGTGAAATTGATTCTTTTTGTGAGCATTTTTACTTTTAGATAAGATATCAAATAATGAATATTATTTGTCAAAAATACATTAGGGTAATACATTGTAGAATTTCCATCTTGCGTGTGCATCTGTAACCGTGTCTGAATAATATATTTTCTATTTCCTTTCAGTGATCGTGTATTTTTCTTTTCTATAAAGGAATGCACCATTAGGTTTTCTTATAAAGCTTAATTCTTTCGCTACATTACTTTGGCAAAATTAATTTTCTGAAAGTTTTTGAAAGGTTTCTTTATGATTATATATTGACCAGATTTTGAATAGAGTATCCGTCTTAGTTTAGAATAATGGAATTAAAACATACAACTTTATAAGAGTTAAGTAACTGGTATTGCGTACTAACTTAGCAGTAAATGTTTTACTGTTAAATTTTAAATATTTATTATAAACTTTTCTTTTTATTTAAGACTAATATAATAAGAAAAATTGTATGTGTGACTGTGTTTAAAATGAAACTAGTAATTCATTATGAATAATACGATAATTCCAGATAGTCATTATCGATCTTAGGAAATTGCAATACATGAGGACATTGAGGCGTTTAGTTGACTTTATCAAAAAGCATCAGTGTACTATTTTATTTCGATTTTCTACAAACTATTTAAAATTTATCTTAGAATTTTGAAGGACTTGAGTTTATTGTAGGCAAAAAGACTATTTAAATGCAAACTTTATTTTCATATAATACTAAGGAATTGTAAAATTTAGTTTTCTTTGGAGCTAAAATTTGAAAAAAAAAGAGATGAAGAAGAATTAGAGGAAAAAAAGAAGATATGTATTACGCTTGAAAAGAGTTCTAAAAGGCATGGTAATGAGTCAAAACAATTTTTAATAGAATTTGCTAGCTCAAGAAAATAGAATTTTTTCTTTAAGTTAAAAAAAGACATAGTAGAAATAGACGTAGAAAAAAATTATTCTGACCAAAAATTGTTATATATTTTCCAATATTTTTATACTTTATATCCGTCATTGAACAGCTGACCCAATTTTGGGTTTACTACTACTGATGTTCGAATCCGTAGCCTTGTAACTTTGAACCAATTCAGAAGACAAGGAAACTCCTGGATCAGTACCCCCAGAGGTATTGATTTGTTATGGGAACATGGAGGACTTTGCGACTCGACAGATTTAACGTGCATCAGTCACCATTTACTACACGGGGAGCCTTCGGCCTTAGCGGATTGAACCCAAGAACTCTTGGACATCCCTATGCCGGCCCTAATATTTATGTATTACTATGAATGTAAGAAACTTGGCTCAAATCAGCTATAAAGTTGTAACTAAACACGTTTACTAGAAGTCGAGAAATCTTGCGTACAAGGTAAAAAGTTTGATTTGTGAAAATCAGATTTAAAAACAAAACTTAACTAAAATAATACAAATATAGTAAATAACTTCAGAGTAAATGAATTTTAATGAAATATTTCAGTTTGCCGACGATTCCAGTTTAGAAAATAGGTGTGTAATTTTCAGTGAGTAGGTTTTAGTATTTTTTGAATATTATCTTATACTATTATATTATTTTAAACTAATTTCTCACTATAAGCCAAATTATAACATTTGTTATAAAAAAATCAATTTTGTTAGGAAAGATGATTTGAGGTTCTGTCCTTAAACATGCAAATCAATTTGTGAGACACATTTTAAATTTGAAATCAAACACAAAAATATACTTCTTAATATGAACTTCATATTCAAACTTCTTTTCTGAACAAGACTTTTTAGACTGGCTTAAAATTTCTACCCTCAAAAACTCTTAATTTCAAAATAAATTACAAGATTTATATCTGAAAAAAAATCTTATCTCACACTCTTACTTTTTGCTATATTTAGTCATTTTTTGATACTTTTGAAATCAAGCAAAGCGTGAAATCATTAAATAAAGATTTCGTAATTGAGAGAGATATATAAGTATAGCTTTCTAAACAATGGAGGAATAGTCAACATATTATGTGGAAAAAAAATTAAGAAATTCACTAAAAAAGCATCAAAAATTGAAATAACTTCCGAACAATTTGTAATAACAATAATGAAAAACTCACATGAAGTTTGAAAATGTTCCCTTTAGTACAGCAAATTTCAACTCTGCAGATGCATTTCTGCGAGATGGGTTGCCTTGGGTTGAGTATTGTAAAGTGCTACGAGTTCTCTGCTTTCGCCTATAGCTCTGTATTTCAATAGGTAAGGCTTAATTTAGCCAATCAAGATTTGTATGAGCTCTGAGACTCTTCTTCAAATTCATCATGCTTCCACCGAGTCCAACAGGGAACTCCTGGCTTGGGTTGATTGTTGATGATGATGTAGGGGGATCTCGGCTATCCGCTTTTATCCCCCTTGCTGTAAGGTGTATCTTGGGTGAGTTGAGAAGTTGGTGGTGATGATGATGATGACGATGAGTGTGTACGCTGTTCTTGAAAAAGCGAAGCAAAGTCACCGTGGAGATCAGAATTATAAATATTTTTCCAAAACACTTTTGGAGAGGTTGAATTGATAAAATTGAAATCCAACATTTGGTGGTTCCAACACTTTTGGATAGACACACGTTTATCAAAAGAGAATTCTTAATAAAAAAAAAATTCTTTTCCCCAGGCGATTAGAGAGGTTTAAAAAAAACTTAAAAATTTGTGCCTGTAAGTAATTATGGATTTGAAAACTGGATACTAGAAACGTTTGGTTGAAATTAAGAAAACCACTAAGTTTTTTAGAAGATTATCTTGAGGATCATAACTAAGAATACGATGAAGGGAAAGTGGGAAAACTCCGATTGAGGTGCACAATGCTGTCTCTGATGTTCAAAGATTTCGCATTCAAAGAGGAAATGGATAGCAGATTCTGGATATTGACAGTAATTGCACTAAAGGGAGTTCACTAGCCCTATTTTTGCATATATTGCGCTAAGTTGGATTGTGTTGCTTCGGAGAAGCGAGATTAAGATATCGTATTTTCGGTTTTGGAGTTGATTGAGGGAGGTTTTACTAACAGTGTGATCAAAAGGGAAACGCTTGTGCTATTTTGAGTTAGTCCGGAGGTTATTGAGTTCGCGGTTTGAGTCTAAAACTGCTGAATATGACAAGTCTTCAGGTGAGATAAAAGAGATGGCTCGAGGGGCATTGGTGGCGTGTTTGGCCAGCTTATCAGCGGTTTCATTGGNGGGGTCGGGGAGGATACCAACGTGGGCTGGTGTTCAGGCGATCGTAATTGATTTCACTTTTGCACATGCTGAAACGATCTTATTTTGTAAGAGGAGGATACTGTGAGGGGACTTATGGGTGGCCAAGATGAGGGCAGTGATTGCGGCCTTACTGTCCGATAAAATAACGTAATTCAGATACTCGGTGGGGAGTTTTGTGATTGCTAACCAAATCGCCAAAACTTCTCCTGTGAAAACTGAGTTAATAGGATGGATTTGAGAGATATAAGACATGTTGTTTCTTAAGTTAATAGCCGCAATACCTGCGTTCGTATTGGATTTCGAGACATCGGTAGCCAGTATGGTAAAGTCTTCCCAAAGGGTGTGGAAGGTTTCCTGATAGAGAGGGAGGTTTTCGTTGGAATTTTTCGGAATTTGAAATGGAAGATCGTGTACATAAAGATAGAGGTTCGGGAGATCTGTGAGGAAAGCTGGAATGTGGAAGGAGATGATATTGTATTTACTTATGTCTTTTTGGTTGAAGATGTCCTGAAACTTGGGGAAAAGGTGGGGTTTCTTTCTAAGTCTAGTAAAATGGAATTCATGCAAAAGACGATTGATTGGGGAGTGAGATCCAAGGGAACAGTGACATAGGTAGAATTTTTTTGCTGCTAAAACAAGTTTGTGCGATATTGAGGTGGTGCCAGCTTCTTTGCGGAGGATATGAATTGGAGTCCAGCGTGGGAGGCCCGTTGCTGCACGGAGGCTAGAGTTGTAGATTGTTTCGATTACTCGGAGATGTGATTTTGGCGCAGAGAAGAGGATTGGGCTGCCATACTCTAAGATACTTCTGATTGTAGCATTTGCAATCTGAGTGGCGGTAGGTTCGAGACCCCCACTGAGTGCTAGAGATGCAGCGGAGTGCATTAATTTTTATGAAGCATTTCTTTTTTAGGTATTGAAAATGACAGGACCCTTGGGAGAGATTTAACCCAAGTTAAGATAAGTTGGTTTTAAGGGAGAGATTTGTCTTGGTGGAGGCACTTTTTGATGGAGCTAACCCGCATTCGCGTTACGTAGTACGTAAAACCATGAAAACCTCCGCAGTTAAAATAAAAATTAGAATTATTCGTATCGTTGACAAATTTAAGGCTTTCAATGAACGTATATAAATTCAGATATTACTCTTAAACTAATTATAAAAACAGGATTTTTAAAAACTTCTTACATTTGAATAGGAAAATCGCGAATATTAAGTGTTTCGTTACTTTGCGTAGTCCTTAGCGTATTCCGCTAGGTTTCATATCTGTTTTCAGAGAAAAAAGTTTTGTAAGTTTTTATTGCGGTAATTAATTTATAAAATTTTAAATATTTTTTTTAAAATACTATTTATTTAAATACATTTTATTAAATATTATTTTGCTCTGTATAATTACTAACCCATAACCTCATAACACATCTGCTAAAAAAACTAATACTACTTGATTCAGATTAAAATAAGATTTGTTAAAAAATGAATGTCTGTACTTACGCAGATTGGGTCTGATAAAATAGTCACATTTTTTGGATTATATAATGAGCATGAAGAGTAGTTGCAAATTTAGACTGAATTTATCTTATAAAAAGAGAATTATGTAAAACTATATAGTTTAAAAATGTTTATTCTGGGAATATATTTATTAAATTCCTTTTGAATTTAAAGTAAAACGGTGGAAGCAAATATTTTAATTAAAGTATTTTAATACACAGCCAAAATTTAATTTATGCCAAGCAAATTATTGAAATCGTAATAATATCTATCCCGCAGTGGACTGATCGTTAAGACACGGTTCTCAGCAGGCCACCGAAGTCAAGCATCACTGGCTGCGGTCAGTGTGTGGGTGGGTGACCCACTTGGATCAGTCTGCGTAGGGACCGAGGGTGTGCGGTATTGGTCCTCGTTAAACTGTGCTACCGTAAAGTGCTCGACTTCGCGTGCAGGTCGTTGGGCTACCGAAGCGGGGGTTCCATCCCCTCCGCAGAGGATCAAAATTGTGATGGCATGTCTTCGGATCATCCTCAGGGATGTTTCCCAGACCGTCGCCAATAGCCCATTGTGCAGCTCTAGTGCGACGTAAATGAACTACTACTACTAATAATAATAATATCTATCTCAAACTTCTTAGAAAATAGTGCTAACAACTCCAGAAACAAGCATTGTTTAACTTTTTGCAGCAGTTAAGTGCACAAAAGTCCCTTTCAGGAAATAGAAATTATCAAAAGTGTTCCAAAAAATAAGTTTGCTGTTGAATATATGTTAAATTTCTAAATTAAAAAAGAATCTGAAACTGCCGAAATTTTTTATAATAATTTTTAAAACTTATTTCGATATTTTCGTTGCATATTTGTAGTTTTTTCCTAAAATTAACGAAAATCAAAGGAACCGAATTAAAAAAAATAATGATGTAAACGTACGAATTTTTTACTTTCAATACTAGTAACATTAAAAGTATTGCCATGTATGCTGACAACCCAATTATAAATACACGATTTAAAAACTTCATTAGTGTGAATCTAAGAAAACAGTTTTTATAAAATGTTTTTAAATTAGAAAAAGTTTTAAAGATAAAACTAGGTAGCTCAAAGTATTTTAAGTTCATTTTTATAAAATTTTAATGTCTAAATTTTTTCTCAATTGTAAGAAGGAACACTTCATCAACGGAACTTGAAAATGAAATAATTTTAGTTTAATTCCATCAGTTTAATTTGGCTCCATGTCATTAAGTACTTAATTAGCGGTAAGAATACTTAATAGCTGATATTCGAATGACATTAATTATATTAATATTATAACAGTAATTAATAATTATATGATGCGTTTAAATTATAGAAATTTATAGACTTTATTGATCTGCTGTTTATGAGCTTAATTTAACTTCATTAAAACTTGAGTCATTATATGTTCGTATTCAGTCCTAATTTCATTATGTTTAGAGTAAGATTTTAAGTAACCATAATAGCTTAATTCGTTTCTTCTACTCATGTATAATCGTTTGAAACTTTAGAAGCTAATGTATATTTTCAAATTTTTAATATACTGTAATACCTATTTAAATCGTTGTCATTATGCATAGTTAGCATTTCAAAAATGAAATTACTAAGTTCAATTCAAACAATTCATAGTGTGAAGGTTATTCGAACTAAATAGGTAAATTTCACGAGATTTCTTAGAATGAATCTAAATGGCACTACGTTTTCTTCGAATTTTCCAAGGAAACTAAATGAATTTTGAGATCAGAAACTTGAACATTGTTTAGTCTATCTATTCTCATTTTGGTAGCAAAAGTTTTCTTCATTGTAGAGTTTGTGTCCATTATTGATAAACGAAACTTCAAAATTACACTGTCATACAATTTTTGTCATACAAAGTTTTTTCCTACATTCCTACATAGTTAATTTTATGATCGGGGGTTAGAATAGTTATAGTGGCATCAAATGTCTTATAAAATTTTTTAACTACTGAAGAAAAACTCCGTAGCGATTAATCATAATTAATGTTAAAAAGATCTTCAATAGATGGTCTTATTTTATAAGTCACTTATCCCTGTAATATTCATTTAGTGTTGGAATTTCTATCAAGATATGGGGTAATTGTGTATTTAGTTGGTTGTAAATGGTTATATTTTTATCTTCGAAAAAACAATAGTGCTATCTTTCAATTAGTCGGAAAAGCATTACATTTCTCTTTGAAATTAATACTGAATTAGAAGTATAACTTCGTATTTCGAATAATGCTATCAATCAAGCATTTAAATGTTGAATATTTAAAAGAATGCACCTGTGTCAGCATTTTTGTCTTTCAATTTTGTGATTTTTGCCACGCTTAGTGTCTCTGCAAGAACTGGTATAGTTTTGATCTTAATGTGCAGTCGAGATTTTATCTTCAAAATAAAATCTCGAATCTGAATTTTACAAACATGTAAAATTCAGAAGCCCGGAATGGATTTGAATTCATTACGCATTTTACGATTTTCGTATCGTATCGCAATATTTTTTCTCTCACCAGTTACTACAAAGACATTGACCAGATTGTTGGTCTGTAATCGAAGTAGGTATGAGTAGATGGAAGTTCTGTGCAAGTGTGGGGCCTGACGAGGTAGTGGTAGACGGCC